TTTATGCATTAACAAGTGCCTTGCATCATTTCCTGAATATACACAAGTTGAGACAACCTGCACATTTAGGTAACAGTTTAGCAACGTTCTGTCGCCCTTACTACTGCGAAACTCAATGGACTTTTCGACTGAGCCAAAAATTAAGGCTTCCTTCGCATCCCGCCTTCCAAAACAAAAAATTAAGGCTTCCTTCACATTCCGTCCTCCAAAACAAACAAAGACATCCGAAATGATCCAAGTCGCTCTAGCAGTAATAATTATTCGTTCATAAGGATATTCACAGATAATTTTCTGAATGGCCTGACGTAATACGATGTCGTGCTGCCGTCAGATTCAAGCAGATGGCTCGAGCTTAGCAATTTTCTGAAAATTTAGTTTCACTTACCTCTAATTTCAAGTCCTTCTTGTGCAGCCAACGAAACGTCATCTGAGTTAGCAATCTGTGCAGCCATCTGATCATTCAGTTCACCAGCTCGACTTGCCGCTTCTAACGCTTGTGGAGTATTCAGCTGCAATCACAGGTACAAAAGAAGTCAGAATTTTTCAGCGGAGCAAAGGCTGGGATAAATAATGGGGCAGCCAAAAGTCAAAATCTCCTCAGTAAACACTTTCTATAAGAGACGGAGGCACTCGGTTGTAACCTGAATGATAGCAAGTGCCAGAAGCAACCGCCTGCCGATAAGGCTCCCAATGGATCCCTTATCGAGGGTTGCTTAGAAGCAAACTATCAGCGAATTGGGTTCCTGGCGGGGGAAAATTATCATCGAAACAAGGGAACGGATCACAAAAGGACTGGCTATCCCATTAGCGGACTGTCGAACGCTTAACCTTGAGGAACTATGTGTCGATCAAAAAGGGAACCATTTGAGTACAGAATCCTAATTCATAAACTTGACTTGGCGGCAGTAGTCAGCATATTTCTGACATATACAAGCCGGGAACCACAAACTCGCCATGTTAAATCGTACGAGAAGTGAGGCTTGCGAAGCGATTCGAGTGGAGGCCTTTAAAGAAAAGCATGTTCTAACAAGGCTGTCAGTGGCTCTAAGCAACATAACAATGTGAAAACTACAAAATGCACGCAAACCTGAGGTCCCTTTGGCCCAGATGAAGTAGGCTTCTTTTTCTTCTTTTTGTAATGTGACTTATCATCGGATTTAGATCCCTTGTCCTTGCTACTGCCGTGCACTTTCTGTACATCGCGTCGACCCGGAATAGAGCTATCAGCGAGTACCAGCGACATCGAATCGGAGGAACTTGTTGTTGCTTGATCGATTGCAAGCTGTCCTGTCCCGGAACTGCCCGCGCTGGTCGTACTGCAAAAGAAAAGAGACATCAGAAATGTGAACCACTGCAAATGATCATTCTCCGAGGACGGGAAGGGGGAAAAGGTCGCAGATACTCTAAAATTACACATATTCGTGGATGAGCAATACACAAAGCTTCAATTTCCAATATATTTTAGCCGTTTTATATAAATTAACATGTGTTTTGAGCATTATTATCTCTTTGCATGTGCCTTTATCGAAGCCCAATCGCACCAAACTCAGCAGCCATAAGCTATGCATATTTTTCTATTCTCTGTTTTTGTGGACTTTTACGCGATTCTATGATAGGCCAACTCTACCTTAAAGAAGTCATGTGTTAGGTGCTGTGCTTACATCTTTTTTTGGGCACGATAAGTACCACTAAGTGGGGCAATGACTGATACTATCAGTATACTCTTCCCCCCCTCCCCCCCCCACTCTAATCCCCGCCTTGCAGTTCACACCAGGAAGTTGCAATTAACAGTGTTTTTCAAAATCAAACAACTAACGGTTTCCGATCAACAGGCGCAAT